TGCTCAAGAAGATAAGATGAAATTCAATTTTTGATCGTTTAACCAGTGTGAACATTGTAAATACAAGTCAGAAAACTTAAGGTTAGAAATCTATGTATCCCTCAGCACACTGCATCAAAAATGTTGTGAATGCTGTGTTCCTAAATATTTGTTTGATAGATGCTGGCACCAAGGATACGCAGCACAAATATTTCGGACGAGGTGAAAGCGATTGCCTGAGCGATTGCAGGTTTCATTAGTTCAGATCGCAATTTCCATCCATCAGGTCACGGGTGAGGTCCTAAGTCAATGATTTGCTTTCATGCTTCTAAAGGAAAAAAAGAAATTGTTTAGTAAGTTCCAATTAAACATTTGACTGAGGCCTGCTTTTCCATGAATTTATTCTGAATTTATGCTGGGCAGCACTGCTCAGAGCGGTGCGAGGAAAAGACAGGGAACTGGTACAGCTGCGAGGACTTGGACCCTCTGAGTCCGTGAGAAATTGGCTTGTTTTTTTCTCTTGAATTTTACATCTCCATCATTGTGCTGACCTTGCCATAGCTTAGAAGGAACGGCACTGATGTAAATCAGACCAGAGTAGGTTCCTGTTACTTGAATTTATTTATTGACAATTAGAGAAGTGTATTTTGGAAAGCTTATTTCATACATTTTTCGTGTCGGAGTGCACATCATGCTGTGTATTTCAGTTGAGCATCAATGTAAAACCTTCTTTGTAGCTCAGCAAACTAGAAATGGAGGCAATTCCTGTTTTCCTCAATCAGCTTCTTAGTCTACACAGATTTCTGCTGTTGCTGCTTTTTCCTGTGTTATCACGTTACCTGTTGCTGTTCTGTGCCTGAAAACGAATGTCACGTAAGAAAGCTGAGGGTTCTGCTCTTCAATTTCGTAGGTGGTGGCCTTGGGCGACGTGCCCGATGGGACGCTGGTGACGGTGATGGCTGGAAACGATGAGAACTACTCTGCAGAACTCAGAAACGCCACGGCCGCCATGAAAAACCAAGTAGCAAGGTTCAACGACCTCCGATTCGTGGGTAGAAGTGGAAGAGGTATGTATTTGTTCTAAACTACGCTTCGGTCATGTTCACCGGTCATGTCAAGTCCTGGTTACGTGGAGGGAATTTGAAGACGGCGTCTGTTGAGTTATCTGCAGCAGGGAATGCTGCAAGAGCTGGCGTAGGGCAATTCCAAAGGCAGAGAATTAACTCTGTGGTTTTTCTTGTTTTCTCCTAGCCCGTCCTCTGTGTTACCTCAATTTTTAAACAGTAAAATCTCACATTAAAAAAAAATGACATAGGCAGCAAGTCATATTATGACTTTGGAAGCCGCCCCGTCAAATTTAGAACAGTACGGTATTACCCATCTTTAAGATTAAACAGCATATTTTCAATTGAAATGAGAATTTTCAGCTTGTGGAAAGACCCATGACCACCTCGGGGCTCCCAGGCACTGTCTGCAAAAGCTAGTCTCTGTTACAGAGCGAGTCAACGTAAAATTACAAGTCATTCCTGCATAGGTCTAAATATTTTCTGGCTTCATCATGACCTGATGCAGGCACAGGGCACTTCTTCTGACCTTTCTTTCTCTGAAATAGGTGTAGAACAATATGCAGTAGTCCTGTTATTTAATGTTCTCCTGCAAGGTGGATAGGATAGACCAGACCAGAACAGATGAGCTTAATATCTTACTTGCTGTGTCTCTGTGATAACCAGTAATTACTAATATGTAAATAAAAAGGTGTTATGAGTGTAAATAACAAATAAGAGTGGAAGCTGACTTAGAGTACAACTATACAAAAATGTTGTTAGGAAGCTGCAAATAGTATCTGACACGTGCGGCTGGCGTCGCAAGTGAGTGGGCAGGTGTGCAGAGCTTGATCCGAAAGCCCGTAAAACCAACAGAAGGACCCTTCACAACTTCACTCCTTGTCTCTGGTCCGTAATCTTAAACCCCACAAATTCCAAGCAATCATGTTTACCTTTCTATTACAAGATTATTTTAAGCACTCCTCTCGTATTGCTGCCCTTGTTGGTGTGAGCGGAGTCCCTTTGGCGTGGGTTGGGGGTTCAGTCGGACCCGCAGCAGAGAGGCTGGTGAGCTGTTGTTCAGAAAAAGCTTGGAGAAAAGATTGGCCTCTGTGTTTTCAGGTCAAGAATGAAAAGAAATTGCACCTTCCATGTGACTTCATAGGATGCTTACGTATTTTTCTTCTGTTTCATTTGGGTCTTAAAGTAAAATCCGAACGTAACACGCAGGTGTTCCAAACACAACAGCGTCATTGAGGGAGAATTCAATGCTGCAACACTCACAGATCGAAACGATAGTGTTTACTGCACTTGAGTAGGTTTCTGTACGCTGCCTTTCTGAGCAATCTGTGCAACGGCGTCTCTCTGAACCAGACTGAGTACTCGGGGCTTGCTGACCCCTCCTCACTGTTTTCCCCTCCCTGTCTCCCCATGCGAGTATCCGAGCCACCTCCTGACGCATGGCTGCGTGCATGGCTCTTACGAACACAGCCAGGGTTAGGACCATGCTTCAGGAGAGTTACAAAAGTGACTCAGTTCTGCTTGCTCGCTCTCAAAATGTTTTATTCCAAACGGGAGATGGGTCAGGCTTCAGACTGAGGAAGTTATCCTGATTATACACAACAGCCTTTATTCGCCTTTGAAGTAAAATGCATCTGCAGATATTCTTCCAACGTAAATACAGTCAGCGACTGTGGAAGAGCATGGCCCTGTTGAAACATAGGTGCAAGCAACAAATACATTCGAAGAATAAAATACCAATCCGATCCCTTTGCATCCTGCAGCATTTCTAGCTGAGGATACGGTGGGAGATGTCTTATAAGTTGTGTTGTTTGGGCTGTTTTCAAAATGCACTTGGTGGAAAACACCCGCAGCTGAGAACGTAGCTTCATAATGCTAGCAAAGAATAATAACAGGGTAATGCAGAGAAAATTATATCCATTTACTGAAAACATGAGAGATGCTGTAATGTCTAAAAGTATCAGTCATTAAACATGTTCATTTGTTATATTAAAGGTTCCACCTTTTCAGTAAATGGAATTTGCATTATGATTCAGAGATGACTGTTTAGAAGATTCAAATGAATAGCTGGCAAACTGGCGGAGAAGCTAATAAAAACAAACCTGTAGTTCAGTTCCTGGCCATGGTAGTGAAGCTAGAAATCATAACAGTGAACTGCGTGATTTTCAAGGTCAAAATCCAGTGGCTGAGAGAGAACAGTCCCTACTGGCGCAGAAAAGCCTGGCGGGGGGCGTCGCTGAGACCCTTACTGAGAGCGGCTGCTACCAGCCGGTCACTCGCGCACAGACACGAGCCGTGCACGTCGCAGGGTGTTCGGGTGCTCGGGAGCCTTTAAGGGATGGAGTGATTTGGGAACGCCGCATGCGATTAGTCAGTCTCCGAGGTTAAATCTCATCACCTCCGCTGGCTGCCCATCTTGGAGCAAATGACTAATGTATGCTTTTGTTTACCCCTTGAACAGGGGATTGTTTTCCAAAGGTGGGGACTGTTTGCTTTTGGTACGGGATTTCTGAGGTGCTGTTCTGTTGAATTTGTATAAAGCCTAAAGCATAAGGTAGCTGCTTCAAAGGGCATTGCTTCCTTTGATACTTCGCTAGAGGAAAATTAACCGAAACTTTGTTTGCTGTGTAATATTTGAGTTTGAATAAGTTCAGTTGCCACCAGTGATAATGCGATGCCAGGAGTATTGTGTGAACGGTGATTGAAAGTTCACGTTGGTTACAGTCAGAGGGGACGCGCTTTGTGTACCTCGGGTGAGTTAAAATCCCTGCTGGAGAATAAGGGACGGCTTCGGCCGGTGATTGTTTGCTGCGCGTCTGTTGTCGCCCAGGTGTAACCATCCCCATCGAAAGCCTTGCCGAACCGATGGCAAGCCACCGCTCTCTCCCTTCCAGGAGAGTAGGGAACTGTCATTCTTGACATTCTTAATAAACAGTTTAGATTTTCTTCTGTGGGCTAGAAATGAAATCTAGCAAGACGGTCTGATGACTGTTTCAAACCTAAGACTGTTGTCCACATTTTCATCTCAGCGAATACACGTCTGTGCTGACAGGGAGAGAGTTACAGCAATTCCCCCAGTTCGGGGGTCTGATGCTGCCTGTCTGCCAGAGCAGACGCACCAACCAAATATTGGCCAAATCTTCAAGAACTGAACTGTGTTTCAGCGTTCCTTTCGTATCTGAACAGCGAACAGTTGCTCTGTGTTGCTCTGCCTGTGCCTGTCGTTCAGAATTAAAAAAAATAACAACCCACACTTGATTTTCTTGACACCCGGAATTGAAGCTGAGAATGTCGCAGGCCGCCCGAAACATCGAGATGGTTGTACAAAAGCAATTTGGCTCTTATTCCTGAACAAAACAGATTTACATTGAAATTGGCTGAGCTCCAGAGTTACTATTCCTCACCCTAGTTTGAGAATGCTACTGGGAAAACCTGCCCGTCTGGCTTGTAAGCCCGAGTAAGTAATTTCTGAAAGAAAAACGTAGTTTAAAACTTCAGCCAATCTCAGTCCCCCTCGCCTGATTACCTGGTTAAAAAAAAAATCTTTATTTTTCTCCCTCCATTCATAGACGCTTCAAACTTCAAAATGCTACTACTGCAAAGTACCCTGTTTTCTTAATGTATAATGAACTGGTTTGGGTTACTATGATGAAATAAATCTGATGCAAAAAGCCTGACACTGTAGAAGTTCTTTGGATAAAATTAAAAATAAATAGTTATTTTGGAGAGGGAAAGCTCCGTGGCTCAGTAAGCATTACATATTTTCCTCATGGACTCATTAATCCCAGTAACTATCTTCTTTGTAGAACGTAACATTAAAAAAACCCCAACAAATAAACATGTTTTCCAGATGAAAATAATTATTAATAGGTTATCATAATAGTAGCTAATGGGGAAGAGTCTTGACTTGCTGCAGAAGATCTCAATCAAAAGCTGAGATCTGGAGATTCATGGTGACTTTCCAGCAGGGACTTATTAAAAACTGTGTCTTGGAAAGGACTGAAAATAAGCCTATGTATATATTTTCTACCACCTGTCAGGATGAGACTCGTGAATAAGTTTTGCGATAGTTCTCAATTTCTACAGAGCCAAAGGAGTACTCCTTTTTCACAGGAGTAGCTGGTAGGAGAACTTAAGAGAGAGATATTACCAAGCATAATCAGAAGTTTCTGCTGCCAGGACTCTTGCTTCTGGATATAATTTTGGGGAAGAAAAATCAGTTTAAGCTGGAATCTCAAAAATACTTAAAACCCAGAAATTACTGGCCTGCATTCTGAGTCCAATTACTTTTATTGGTCTTCTGAAGTCAGAATTTTGTTCCTTCTGTGCAGCTTCAGCTTGTGGTTGCATTATTTGAGCACTTTGTTAAGATCTGTTTCATTTTTTTGCTCAAACGCATTCGAAATTATAGAAGTATGTGCAAAACAAAGCAGGATGCTCTTCAATAGGATTGTAAAATCAGTATTAAGCAGCCGGCCGCATCCTGGTCCAAACCATTGGAATGCTTCAGGGGACGCGGTATCAGATACTGGAATAACAATGAGCCGCGCTTGCCAGACGGGACGAAAATAGAAGAAATCCAACAGCAATCAAAACTGAAAAAAGAGTCGATTGATGGAGTATAAAAACAACCGGTTATTTATGCTCGGGACCGACACGCACCCGGCGTTAGCAGGGCCCTGCGGCCAGCGGGAGAGCAGTTCGGCCCCGCCGAGATGGGCAGCTCCGCTGAGCCGTCCCGGGGTCCTGCCGGGCACAGGCAAGGCAGGTGGGATGGGAGAACAGCCAGTGGGATGGGAGAACTGGACGTCCGCAGCGCCGCTCGCCCGGGCTGGTTGGGCCGCCCCTGGCCAAAGCAAGGGGCTGGTCCCCGCCCCAGGTGTGTGTCGGGGGTCAAGATTCCTCACAGGACTCTGCTTGGTCCAGTCCGGTCTGAACGGTGGATTTTTCTCTAAAAGACAGAGGGCAGAAGTGGTGATCTTATTTTTAAGTGACTCAGGGCT